GAGTTGTATGAGCCCCTAATAAAACGATTAAAAAATAAAGAGAGGAGACCATTTACTGCTCACAGGCCTGGGCCACTGAGGGTGTGTAGGCCAAACACACAATCCACTGAAGGAGGGAGACAGACCAGGCTTGAACTCACCTCCAGGACGTAGCTCAGAACCAGTCGACAGCGCTCTTCTGTGTCGTGGCAAACTGGGAACGCACAGCTGGGCTTCAGAAACAAACATGCAAAACGATTACCCTGCCACCAACACAACCGCCTCCCGGGGCCCCCCACCCGCCCGGGCAGTCTATAGTCCGTCCCCCCACCCCCCGGGCAGTCTGTAGTCTGTCCCCCCACCCGCCCGGGCAGTCTATAGTCCGTCCCCCCACCCCCCGGCACCTGGCCACAAGCAGCACCAGATTTTGGCCTACGGTGTAAACCTGTAACTTAGAAAAGTGCTGTGAATTAAGACGAGTGAAGTGTGTGATCACCTGGCTAATAAACGGTGTTCGATTAAGCGACTACAAATAGCGTCAATTAAAGTCTCAATTATCCAAAATCTTCCAGAATATACCTTGATCTAAATACTTACATCTTTATACAATAATTCTGTCAGGACCAAAAAAAGTCTGGGAGGACTGAGTCCCACCCCGCCTCAGTACAGGCCCCGCCTCCTCATCCCCCTCAGCCCGAGCCCCCATGACCTGACTCTACGCCTCACAAGCAGCAACACAGTATAAATCACGTACTTGCTGGGGATGGCTCCTAGTAGCCCCCCTCCTACCTAATGAGTCAGGTGTCAACACCAGTGCCCACGGCAGGCAGGGACAATGACTGAGAAATGAGAGCCCACAGCTCACTCCCTCGGGGAGACTCGACTGGGGGAGTTAGAACCAGTCTCGGTGCCATCAAGTCCATGCCAACTCCTAGCGGCCCTGCAGGACGGGGCGACACGGTAACTCTTTATGGGTGTAGAGAGCCTCCTTATGCGCCCTGGGAGCGACTGGTGGTTTAGCAGCCGAGCATGCAGCCCAGCAGGGCTCCTCTTAAAATCATGAGGGGGAAACAACAGATAGACAGACAGACAGTTACTTTCCCTTAACAAAGAGGACAAAATCCCCTCCCAGGACCTCAGCTGCACCGTGGCCGGCTGTCGCTGGTACAGTCAACCAATAGCTAGCTGTCTCTCCACACAGGGACGCACTCTCAGCCGCCCCCCCCACCGCCGGCCCCGGGCTTACTCGGATCTGATGGGTGGACTTGTACTTCTCAGGCACCGACAGCTCCCCGACAGACTTGATGATGGCCACGGCCTTGCTGTCCTCCGCCGGGTCAGAGCCGGCGTGGAATGAGCCGTTCTCATCGCTGTCGGCCAGCTCCTCCTCCTCCTCCTCCTCCTCGCTGTAGCTTTCTTCCGAGTTTTCCTGGAGGGGCGACTCAGCACTCTCCTCTGTCTTAGGCTCGTCCAGCTGGAAAAGCTCGGAGAGCATGTAATTGGCCGAGGCGATTATCTTGTAGAAGGGAAAGGAAGACACTGAGCACTGGGAGAGGCGGCATCAGGGACGTGCCCACGCCACGGCCACGCAGATGCGTTTGCAAGGAGCTCTTCCTGCCCGCGGGCCCTGCCAAGGTGGGCAGAAGGGGAAGCCACTCAGCCACTCACTCTGTAAGAGCCTCCAGGGATGGCTGATTTTCTACAGGGCACCCCACTCCTGGTTCCCCGCAACCCCACTGACTGGACACACACAGCGGCTGCCCAGGCGCAGGCGGTGACATCAATGTCAGCCGGACAGCACTCGGGGAACTGGCACACTTTCTCGTCACAATGATGAGGCTGGCGCCAGCTGATCATTCACAAACCCTTTGCCCTTCACTCCATTCTGATGGGTAGCCTCCAGACAGGGCAGAGCAGAGCGACCACAGCATCTCCGAGGCTTTAGTCTTACCGAGAAGAGCCCTGGTAGCACGGGGGCTAGGTGCTGGGCGCACGAATGGCAGGAGGTGGGAGAGAACCAGCACTACTGAGTTTTCACGTCCGCACCAGCACTGCCCAACAAACATGCTGTGCAGTCAAGCACGAAACCGGAAACTCCAGTAGCCACGTTAAAACAGAAGTACCTGGTGAGGAGTCTTCCAATCCAATACCAGGCCTGCCGATTTCATCCTGAGCGAGTAACCCTCCGGAAGAGGCCAGAACTGCCCCAGCCCTCCAGCACAGAGCAGCTGGGGCTCAAACTGCCCAGCTGTCAGCAGCCAAGCACTTCACCAGCACCCACCAGGAGCCCCTTTAATCCAGTCCACACAACACGCTATCATTTTGCCACACACGGTGTGGTCCCTCACCCTCAGAATCTTTGTACTGTACACCTGCAGCACTCAGGTTAGGCCTAGTCTAAGAGCCACCGTGGTCCCTGGCCACCTTATCAGACAGAATACTTGGCACACACAGAACCGCCCACTGACTGCCCAGGCCATGATGTGAGAATGGAGGCTGTCAGCCTTACCTGCGGATGCCTGCTTTTGTCCAACAGCTTGACACAATTCAGAAGCAGCGTCCTGACGGTCCCGTAGTACTTCTTATTCTGGCCCTTCTTCACCATCATGCTGCAAGCAACCCTGAAGAAGACGTCTGCGTCAATTCGCTCCCGGCTCGCCCCCGGCTGCAAAAGGCTCAAGGGCAGGATGTTCCCACTTGCCCAGAACCAGGGCTGACTGAACGCAGTTCCTGCCCTTCCCCGAGGCCCCGGCGCTTTGCCGAGTAATGTTTGGAGCTGGTTAGTGCGTATGTGTTCTTACGCAGTGACAACCCACACGCGGTGGGCTAGGTGGCCTCGGCCCGGCGGGCAGTGCCTTACTTGTACAAGAGGATGGCCACGGGCATGGTGAAGGGGTTCTGGTACTTGTCTTCTGTTTCTTCACACAGGGTCGTGAGGTCATAGAGCTTCACTATGTCGCTGCCGCTTGCTGAAACGACAGATAAGCTTCACTGTGTGGCAGGCACCCCAGGGTCCCCTTGGGTGGGCTCAGGAGTTCGCTGACCTTTGAAGAGCCAGTAGGTGTGTCCCTCTTTGGTACAGTTGGATTTCAGAAATGATAAGATGTTCTGTGCAATGTCCTTTATGACTTTAGTGGAAAAGTTGGAGTTTTCCAGATTGGGGATCTCTTCCGTCTTGATCATCTCATACTTCTATAACACACAGAGCAGGGCTGGTGGAACGAGCGGGCACGGGGCGCGCTCTGCGCAAAGCAGCCACACAGCCACATCCTGCCAGGCTGCCGAGCGAACCTCCCTAGCACACATACCCCGACACTGTGCTGCATCACCTCCCTCTAAAGGCTGCCCCCAGAGACCCCTCTGGTGAAGAAGTCCAACAGCAGCCAGGCTGAGGCGGCCACAGTCGGCTTCTCTAGCCCCGGACCCTAGCCATGGTCATGCTTTCCGCATACCAGACACGCGTGGAGAGCAGTCCATCATCTCCCCGCTGTGCAGCGGTCCTGGGTCCCTGTCTCAGGTGGAATGCCACCAACATTCTAGCCCCAGGTCTCACAGGTCTCAGAGCCACGGGTCCCCTGACTCATGCTCACCCTTTTCCCGCCAACGCCTCACCCCACCTCACTGCTGGATGATCACTTCAGGGGATGGGCCACAGTGGCCCCCCCCACAGCAGCCCCTGCACCCCCACCCGCTGGACGGTGGGCCCAAGCAGGCATGCTTTGAGGCCACCCATGACCCCGCAACAGGTTCAGAACCAGCGGGGTGGCGTGCAGGGGCCTCCAACAGGCCAGGCTCAGATAGCCCCCTCCTTGACACCGAGCGCCAGCTGGAAGGCTGACACCCGGTCTGAGGGGTGTCTCACAGGGAGCCAAGAAGATCCAGCGGGCAGTGCACTGAGAGGGACACCATCTGTAACGTGAATGCACTTGGCCCGCTGCCTGGAAAGCACCGTTTCCTCGTGGTAAGGTGGCTTTATTCACAGGAGTCTGATGGTTCAGACACTGCAGTCAAGGGTCTAGGACCAAACGCAGGCTTGGGGAGTGCTAGCTGCTGTCCCCACGGCCAAGGCGCACCATCTCCTGGGTGTCACCTGCCAATCCTAGACTAGCCAGGGCAGCGCAATGCCTCACCAGCCTTGTCTCCACGCCTCCCTGCTGGCCCTACATGGGACCTTGCAATCAACACCCGCCTCCCCCTTGATATCAACACCCATGTCCCGCCTCCCACCTCCCTGTCGCTAAGGAGACCAACTCCACACTCCAGTTTCCCCTTTAAGAGTCTCCACTATTTGCCCATGACTTTTCCAATCTAATTCCCAGGTTTCACCAAACCGGATTCAGCACAGTTGTCTGTTCATTCACTTCTGTTTAAAATGTACCTGGGTATTTCGATGCTATTAAAAGGGCACTTCTCCCACACAGCCTCTCACAGCAGAGCAGAAGGACCCCCACCCCGACTCCTGGGTGTGCACTCCTCTCCCAGTCTGTCCCCATCTGCTCTGCGGCCCCCACCTCCTCCCATGTTACATCTTATGAGTGACAGCCAGAGCACAGCACTGATAATGGGGACAAAACCCACACCACCGGCCATTGGTTCCTGCGGGTGAGCACACCTTCCTCCCTCAGGAGCATTCAAACCCAGACCTTCTGGCTAGCAGCCCACTATGGCACCCTCAGGGTGTCGCAGTGCCTTGTAAAGAGCATGCTCAGCGAAACCGCCCCGGGGCCTCCCCCACCAGCCTCCTGCATCTCCGGAGCAGCGAAACACTGCCACCTCATCCACATTCCCAGGTCATTACTAGGGTACATGACAGTTCAAAATAAGAATTCGACAGACACAGAGATAGCAAGGGGATTGTGTATGTGAAGACCTTCCACAAATAACGTGCAGTGTGACACTCGGATCTCTCCAACTTAAAGGGGAAGCCCGCCCAGCAGCGGAGCAGTTCTGGGGACACAGGAACAATGGGCCTTACCTGCACAATCCCGTTCACATGGAAACACATCACAAGCTCGGGCACATTGCATATCAAGTTGTCCAACCAATAATCAATTCCAGTTAGCACATTAATTGGTTTGTTGTTATCCCTAAAAACACACATTTCTAGTGTTACTCCGTTCAACTAGGAAGCTGCCTGACACAGCACCTGAGACTTCCCCCCACTTAAACACAGCCACCTTTCCCATCTCCAGTCTAGTCTCTTCTGACTGACGATCCCAGAAGATGCAGTCAGAGAAGTGACTGACACTATGGGGGCGGGCCCTGTGAGGACGGACATGGCTGCTCCTCGCAGCCAAGGCGAGAGGCCAGCCGCACACGGCCCCTCCAAGCAGGGTGGAGCTGAGAAAGCGCTCACACTGTTTAGTGGGACGAGGATGAGCCTCACAAGCTGGAGCCTCCGGCAGAAGAGGCCAGTCAGAAACTGGCTGTTGGCATTTGCTGACATGGAGACCGAGCGTCTCCCCGACTGGGGCCACTTTAGGGGGTGAGGAAGATTCCTCCGGAGATGGGTGGACTCAGGAGAGGGAACACTGACTGTCAAAGAGGCATGCAGGCAGCGGGAGCTCAAGGGGGGCACACACTTTCGCATTACTCACCTGAGGCGCAAGCTGACTGCCGGGTACCTGCCGCCTCCAAATATGGGCATGTTGGAGCCAACCAGCATATGGATGTCTTCGAAGGTCCACAGAATATTCCGAACAAAATCATTTTTAAGACCCTTTAATTCAGAAGAAAACAGGAAATAGTATTCAAGGTCAGAAGAGCCACTCTTCCCTCCCCAGACCCACGGATGCAGAGGCAAAGGCGGGGTGAGGTGGGGGTAGGGTGGGAGGGGAGGGGAGGGGGAGGGAGGGTGGGCAGGGTGGGAGGTGGAGACTGAGAGGCTCCCGAGCGCTGGGTGGGCGTACCTGACTGCTCTCCCCATCATTGAATAAAGGAGTCAGGGTTTGGTCTTGGGGTGCTGAGGTCACTTGCCCCACTATGTATGTGGGCTCAAGAGGCTCACTGTCCTGTGAAAAGTGCAAGAATAAGGCTGATCTGGCTGCCACACTGCATCCAGCCAGGCCACCCACACTCAGAGCACCCAGATCAGGACGTCTCCCCAGAGGGCGGGCAGTCCACTGTGGAGCTGAGCGAGCAGCCACCACAGCCCACACTGCATTGAGAGTAGGCTCCGAGGGTCAGGGCGATGGCTTTCATTTCTGGTTTTTGGTGAGTGGGGAACATCACTGCTCTTGAATCCAACCCCCCACCCTCACCCCCACCCCCACCTCTACAGAACTGCAAAGCTCTCAAGAAAGCGGCCCTGCTGGGATGAACGAACACCCCTAATGATCTGATTCCCTCCTGTCTCAGCGGGTGCCAGCCCTTGGGGGGCTCACCGCAGATTCCCATGTTTGAAAAAGGCACTCTCCCAGCCCTTTTTAGAGAGTAGCAACACTCTGTAACACTCCGGAAGCCTCTAGGAGGCCTGCCAGAACACCTGGAATGTACGCTACGTGACCCTGGTGGCATGGTGGGCTCAGTGTTGGGCTGCTAACCACAGGCCAGCAGCTGGCGCCCACCAGCCGCTCATGGAAAAAAAGCAAGGCTTCCAGCTTGTGTCAAGATCGGCAGCCTCAACATAAATAGAAGTGAAACCAGACCGGCGGCTTCGGGAGCCCACAGGATGGCTCTACTCAGTCCTGCAGGGCGGAGGAGTGATTGACTCACCGGCAGCGAGTCTGTGTGATTGTGGGGTTGCCTGAGCTCAGTTCATCCAGAGCTCGCTGACACCTGGCTGCGAACCGCAGGTTTGAACCCATTGGCCACTCCCTGGAGAGGCCAGCTTGTCTCTGTCTCAGAAACCCTAACAGGGCAGTTCTGTCACACTGGGTCCCTGTCAGCTAGAATTGAATTAATGGCAGGCAGTGGACTTGGGGCAAAGCAACATGGCTTTAAACCCTTAATGCCCAGGGAGGGAGGGAGAGGGAGATGAGTGGGGAGGGAGCTCATGCAAAGGCAGCACCAGGCAGGCCCCAAGCACTTAGGCCAGGCCTTCTCTTCTCTGTCGGAAGTTCTAACAACAGAACGGCAGGCTCTAAGGCTGTGGGCCAAGCTCCATGTTGTACCTGCCAGGTCCCCCCAGTATCGGCACCTACTAACCTCCACGGCTGCCCAGACAGGCCTCTGACCAGCACTCCTCTCTGGGAACAAGGACGGGTGAGGCAGAAGCTGCTGAATACTAGAGCACTCACTCAGTGTTGACACAAGCAGTGTGGGAAGTCTCCCTAAAAGATTACTGTGATGCCAGGCCAGCTCTGCTCACAAGGGAGGGCAGGTGGGCTGCTGGATGAGGCCCCTAACCTCGAGTGGAGACTGAGGAGCAGGTGCAGGCGGGCTGGAGGTGCGGGTTTGGAGGCAGGAAGAGCTGGGCGGAAGCCCTGGCTCCGACCTCACAGGCACCTGTTTTTTAGCAACTTCTGTTGACTTGTAAGACATATGAACAACACTTAGTATAGCGGGTACCCAATCTAAGAACGCATGCAAACACAACTTCCATGGCCTCAATGCCCCAAGGTGGGCAGTCCAAGGGAGACAGACTGGGCTTTCTACTCCCATCATCAGGTACAGTCTCAGAAACCACAGGGGGCCTATGAGTCAGCACTGGCTCGGTGGCAGTTTGGTTTTGAATTTACTACAAACATGAAGCGCAAGGCAAATGTTTCCTGGGAGCCCAGCCTGATGGGAAGGTGGGGAGCGAGCCGCTGAGAAAATGTGTAAGGAGAGGGAGAAAGCAACACACCAGGTTCCTGTCAGAGACAAAGCAGGCTTTAGAGTCTGCTTGCCATGAACAATGGCTGTCCAAGAACTTCATGGGAACATCTCTAGGGCTACTTTAGACCTAACTGCCTGACCGCAAGGGAAGGGAAGGGGGTCAGTAAAGTTCCAAACAAACCCGAGAGCCTAAAATGCAATAGGAAGTTAAAAATGTATGCATTACTAGCTATATTCTAAGACTTTAGGGCAATCATTCAAATGGGAAAATACTCGTACACTACTCCCAAAGCAAAAACCAACAGCCCACAAGTGTGCTGGCATCGAGTGGATTCTAACTGACAATGACCTCCCATATGTACAGGGTCTGTGAGGCTGCACACCGGTATGGAAGCAGAGAGCCTCACCTCTCTCCCCAGGACTGAGCAGCTAATGGCCTTGAACCAGCAACCTTGGCAATCAATGGTTCAGTGCTTATCCGACAGCACCACCAGGGTCTCAAAAGTAAGCCATGTTCAAGGCAAGGGAAAACTATCCACGGCTGACCTGGTTAGAAGCACCGGGGTCTTCGGAAACGGAAGGTGGCATCTCAAAGGGGGCCGGCCACGAAGCCCCTTCCGAATTGCTCATCTGGTCGTGGCTGGCCGACTCCTGCTGGTCTGCTGCTGACGGGACGGGCTGGGCAGTTCCGTCACCATTGATACTGGCCCAGTATGAAGGGAAAGAGGTCACCTTGCTGCTAAGATTAATTTTATGTAACAATCTACAGGTTTTTAAAACACACACTCTCACGACCGCACCTGCCAAACAAACAAACAGACTGCTATCAAGCCAACACTGACTCAGAGCGAGCACCTAACAGCCGAGTCCCAGCCATCGACAGCGTCGGCTACAACGCTCCGCTGTGTGGATGCAGGTGCAAGGCAGGTGTTGATCACTGCACACAGCAAATGATTGCCTTTACAAACTTCAGCTGGCATCCCAGGCAGACTTGCCCCTCCCGCCAATGCTGAGAGGAAGTACCTGTAATATAAAAACTTTGACAGGATCGCCTTCTGGTACCAGTGCTCCTTGCTCTTCTTCTTCCTCTGCCACTTCTGGTCAATGAGCCTTTGGTAAAACTCCTTCAGCCAGGTCCAATCCCCAGTCTAAATAACACGAGGGATTAGCACACAAACACGGCCAACCTGGAGTCAAAACCGCCTGTCACCAACTACCCCTCTGCGGGCATGCTCTTCAGTTTGGGAAGGCTGGCTCCTAAGCACACTCAACATTCTAAACCCACTCCAGATAGCCTTAGGGGGACACATGCCTGTCCTCTTCCCTGCACTCACCAAGCTGCAAGGGTGGCCCTTGCCCTTGTCTTGAGCCCCTGTGGGAGCCCCCAGACACACAGTACTTACAGGCCCGTGCCTGTGCTTCTCCGCTCAAAGCAGCCAGGAGCAGACTGTGGACTCTTCACGCTCACACCCCAAACCCACCGCCCAACCCCGGGCTTTTCAAACGAAGCCCATCTTTACGTGTTATCAGTTTCCCCGACTGGAACTCACTTTCCTCGGTCACTATGCTTCGAAGAGCGGCCTGTTCCAGGGAGGGCGCATGACCAGGTGGGGCAACTGACACCGTGTGCTGCTGCAGCACTGCTGCTGGAAGCTAAGAGGTGCCGGCCAATCCTTAGCACGTGGGCGAGGCCTTTCCCAGCACGTGCTTCGAGAGCCCAGCTTTAAGGGATTCAGCTAATTCTAAAACCACACATTCACAGGAGTAACTGTGAACAAGGTGGGCCGTGCTGCATCGTCGCCACCTGGGAGCTATCAGAGGGACTTCTCCAAATTTCAGCTCGTCCCTTAAACTCTGGGAGATTTTTCTCAACTTCCTTCAAGGGCCTCATCCTTCTCCTGTGCGCACCTGGCTTCCCCAGTAAACTGCTCCCCGTTCTCGCTCTCTCCTGCCCTCAAGAAGGTTCCCTCTATCCGGGTGCTGGGAGAGCACTCCCGGCCGTCAGCCATCTGAGCTGGCTACGGTGGCCCCGAGTTACCTGTGAGGACCTCATGAAGAGCTCCTGGATGTCCAGCTCGTCCAGCAGGAGCGTCCTTCCTACTCGGTGGACTGCCATGCTCACGTGGGACTTGCTGTAAGGGATCTTCAGGAGCTTTTTTATGTTCTAGGAATCAGAAGAAACAGTTTAGAAAGACCTTTCGGCGGTGACTTTGGAGCTTTCAAACTTAAACTTCACACCATTTAAAAACCACAGTAAGCCTTGGTTCTTGAAGGTTAGGTAGACGGTATTTCACATGAGTGACACACACAGGAGACACCGCCGCCAAATCAGAAGTCACTTCGCTTGGTAAATGAGACTGTTCACACAGGACTGGCCAACAGGTACTAACAGATGGAATTTCTTGGTTGAAGTGACCTGGGCTTCCAGCAGATCAAGCAAAACTGACCAACTGAGTATCAGTAGACTTGATCAGAATGACCACTTCTATATCAACAGGAGCCCCAGTGGCATAGTAGGCACTCGTTGGACTGCAATTTGAAAGGTCAGCAGTTCAAAACTATCAGCTGCTCTGAGGGTTAAAGATGGGACTTTCTACTCCCCCAAATCCTTACAGTCTCGGAAACACCCAAGCCCAGTTCTACCCTGTCTTGCAGGGTTGCCGTGAGTCAGCATCGACTCGAGGGCTGTGAGTAAATTCTCAACAGTGCCAACATTACCTGCAGTGTTCATTATTATTGAGCTCATAGGCACCAATATCAATACTATTACCATGGCCAGTGTCTTCTTGGGGGTGGCTTCCTCCTCTTAGAAAAAGAGAGAAGTTGCGAGTGCTACTTTAGTAACAAACAGCGTGCTTCAACAAGCTTTCTCTGATTTGATTGCTAATTTTGTAAGCTAACAGTGCCCACAGAGCATGTTAAGTATAGACCCCCCCACCAGCAACAAGGCACATGTTTACCTCAGAGTCGGAGACAACGTCCACATCATTGCCCACCGAATCGATGAAGTCGTAAGCCATGCCGAAACTGAGGGAAGAAAAGGCCGAGGGCCAAGAGGGTGTGCTCACCGAGACCCGGCCCAGCACGGTGCCCCACATCGCTGCCAAGCCGGGCGGCACGGCACCGAGACCAGGCTGGTGTTTCCGAGCGGCACGTGAACAGTGGCGTGTCTTAAACAAAACCTCGATGGCACCGAGATTGGATCAAATAGAGGAAGGATCGGCATCCAAGTATTCAATAACCACTTTGATGTTTGTGATCCCTGGGCCCCAAACTTCCCCCAGAAAACAAAGTCTGATTCTTCTCAGAGAGTGTGTGTGTGTGTGTGTGTGTGTGTGTGTGTGTGTGTGTGTGTGTGTGTGTGTGTGTGTGTGTGTGTGTGTG